CTGCGGGTCGGGGCTCCTCGTAGGCCCAGCGGGTGCCGAGGGGGCTCCCTGAAGGCCCGGGGGTCCCTTGTAGGTCTGGGGGCCTTGGGGAGGGTCCCTGGGGATCCCCTGTAGCTTGGGGGGGGGCATAAATCCCCCTTGGAAAGCACAAGCAGGTGGGGGCAGCCCCTTGTGCGGCAGCTCGGGGGTTTCTGTGAGGAGTCCCTGAGCCCAGAGGTGGGTCCTGGGGGTGAGGACTTACAATGTAGGTACCAAATTAGTAGTGGGGAGCGCTGAAGTACACCCGAGGCTGCGATTGCCTAATCAACCTGATGAACGGTGCCTTTTCCTGATCCAGAATGGCCTGCAACAGCAGGGTGGATGGGCATTTGAGCGTGCTGCAATGGGTTAGACAAGGAGAAACAGCCTACTGCAAAGTACTTTCCTTACAGCAGGAAAGTAATTTCAGGTGTGATCAGAAACTCAGTCGGTTAATCTTCCTGTAACCAGTGATGTGATTAATTGCATTTGGGAAACGGGTATATACGTGAAACATTTGTGAATGGAAATGCGTGAAAAAAAAAAAAAAAGCATTAAGATGCGGTTACGGTTTGGGTTGTGTATGAACCTGCAGCCACGCCTTGTCGGCAGTCCGCCTGGTTTCGTGATTGATGGTGCTCGCAGAGGACCTCGTTGGCTCGTATCTGCCGTACGTCTCTGTGTTTGTTTCAGCGGTGTTGCAACAGGAGATGGCAGAGTTCCCAACCGAGAGCGTGGCATGCCAGTGTGAGAAAAAGATACGCTTTATATTCTCCTGACCCTAGTGGTTTCCTTCAGAAGTGTGAATATTGCCGCCCCTGTGCTCATTCCAGCTGAACAGCGTACTTTCATGTTTATGTCTTCGTTCCACAGGCACAGAAATTCTTCGTCATTCTGGCAGTTTGTCTCTCTTTCTGGAATATGGTTTTCTCTTTGCTGGTAGTTCCTGTTATGGACTCCCTAGTTCTTGTTCAGTATTACCTGTGTTTTATGCTTGGCTGGCTGCAAGTTTAGCTCCAAACGTGGCTTTCCAGGATATACGTAATCGCTCTCTTTCATCAGCCTGAATGCTTGCTTTAAACTAGCGAATTTCTTTTGCTTTTCCATAGCTTTCATTTTTTTGTAGCATCATACGGGATACAAATCCTATATCCTTTTCACCCCAGATTTGGCTTAATACCTTAATTACAAAGTAATTTAGTTGCCTGTTTTAGTAAATATGTCTCCAGTTGTCTCATGTTAGTAGACTGGTATTTCCAAAGCTACTACAGTTTATTTGGGGATGAAAATTACATGCAAAATAGGAACATCATCCTCTCTGCACTATAATCTTGCCTTAATTTTCTCGCTCATCAAGTTGATATCAGTAATTAATGCTCCAAAAACTTAAACTGCATTTGTTGGTATTGGTCCATCCAAGATCTTCTCAGCTAATCTCCGTATTTTTAATGCCGTTAGTCCTGCTTTCCTTTCAAGTCCCCAGCCGTTTGCTGTGCGATACGCTCTCTCTTTTCTGCAACCGACAAGTCAACAGCAGAGCTAATCTGTTTTGATTCATGTCGTGAGGATGCCACAGGAGTTGAGCAACGTCAGTTGTGCAGTTGCTGTGCGTTTGTGTCTTTTACTCTGGAGAAGGGAGACAGCCGAATGAAGATGAGACGAGAGGGATGTTTGTGAGAGATGAGGAAGCGGGCTGTCCAGAGTGAGAACAAAGCTGAGGTAGCAAAGATCAGGGACGTAGGCTGGCGGGGAGTAACGTGGCTGAAGGAGTAACTGTTGTAGAGAGAAACAACTCAAGCCATGCAGGCAGGAGGACAGCGCGTGCTGCGCGAGGGCTGCTCCTTGTGTCTTTCCAGCTCAGCTAGTTTGCCTCCTTGCCACTTGTGGTTGGAGAGTGGAAAGGACATTGGGAAGGAAGAGGCGAGAAGCCGTGAGGAATTGCTGCGCATGCAGTGTCTTGCTACAGCTTTTCTGACTGTTGTCAGTGGTATTTTGTCCCATGCACGCAAGGGTGCTGAGGGAAGCGGCCGATGTCATTGCAGGGGCGCTTTGAAAGGTCACAGTAATCAGAGAGGATTCTGATGACTGAGAAAGGGCAAACATCATGCATGCATTCAAGAAGACTAAGAAGAAGGATTGGGTAACTCTAAAATACTCTATTTAGCCTGGGTTTCTGGGAGGTGATGGCACACCTTCTCCTGGAAACTTTGTTTTAAGCAGGTGGAGGACAAGAAGGTGACTGGGAACAGCCAGCATGGATTTGACATGGGCAATCATGCCTAACCAACCTGATTGCCTCCTGCAACGAGGCTGGCTCAGAGAACACGGGGAGAGAAGTGGGTGTTGCTTACCTTGACTTTAGCAAGGCCTTTGGCATGGTCTCGCATCGTATCATCTTACCAAACTGGTGAGGTATGGATTGGGTAATCGGACTATAAATTGGATGGAGAATTGCCTGGGCTGCTGGGCTCAGATGGTGGTGATCAGTGGGCTAGCACACAGAGTGTACAAGAAAGGCTGAGAAAAACTGTTTGTATCCCACAGTAATTTTAGGAAAAGAAATCGTTTGCTCCTTAGGGAAATAGGCATGGTGCTCCTTAAGAAATATATTTATTTTGGTGGAAAGAGGAATATATTTATTTTGGTGGAAAGAGGAAACCAGACTGGTTGTAGAAAGCAAGAACCAGAAGGGTTGTAGAAAGCAAATTAAAAACAAACATCGAAATTCTAGGAGGTTATAAACACTCTGAGGTCTTTTAAAAACCTTGTACTTGAAAGCACTCTTTTATTCACTGGCTTAAACACTCATTAATGCCAGTCCTGTCCTGTGTGTCGTCCCCCCCTTAAAGTCCTGGCAAAATCAACATGTCTCCAAGTTCTGTATGGATTGGGTAATCGGACTATAAATTGGATGGAGAATTGCCTGGGCTGCTGGGCTCAGATGGTGGTGATCAGTGGGCTAGCACACAGAGTGTACAAGAAAGGCTGAGAAAAACTGTTTGTATCCCACAGTAATTTTAGGAAAAGAAATCGTTTGCTCCTTAGGGAAATAGGCATGGTGCTCCTTAAGAAATATATTTATTTTGGTGGAAAGAGGAAACCAGACTGGTTGTAGAAAGCAAGAACCAGAAGGGTTGTAGAAAGCAAATTAAAAACAAACATCGAAATTCTAGGAGGTTATAAACACTCTGAGGTCTTTTAAAAACCTTGTACTTGAAAGCACTCTTTTATTCACTGGCTTAAACACTCATTAATGCCAGTCCTGTCCTGTGTGTCGTCCCCCCCTTAAAGTCCTGGCAAAATCAACATGTCTCCAAGTTCTTGATTATTTTTTTGAGGTACATTTGCCACTTTATTCCCTGGGTGCTGGAGCTGTTTCCTCTTATCTCATAGTGGTCTTCTGGTAAGTTAGGTTTTCATCTGCGTTTTTCTTTTTCCACACCTTGAGCAAAATGACTTAGTGGAACATGTAAGCCTTGATACACAACAGTTTCTCCTCCTCTAGTCAGAAATTTATGGCTGAAAAAATCCACCACGCGACTTTGACCAAGTATACTTGAAACGTTGTAATTACAGATGATCTAGTTTCACAGCTCACAGACAAAGAAAATGTGTTTGTTTTACTTTATTAGATTTCTTATAATATGTTCATACAAAAACAAATGTGCATATACACACTCTGTCAATACTGCCAACTGCAATTTATTAAGTTTTATAAATTTTTTCCACTAGGTCACTGTATTGTTAAGCAGACATTGAATGGGGGATCAATGCTAAAGATGGGAAGGCTAAATTTCAACGTAAACAACCTCATCTTTCTCTTAGTAAGTTTATAAGGGGTGTTTTTGAGGAAGTCTTAATTAATCATGGGCCTAAGCCCTCTCTTAATGCGGATGTATTTTTCTAACAAGTATTTGGGCAGAAGCTGTAGCTCGCCCTGCCGCTTCGCTCTTCCCCGACTGCTGCAAAGCCCCTCAGTCAGTCATTGTAATCCAGAGCTGAAGCTGGGAGCGCGTTTTGGGGATATATCTTGTTGCTTTGTGATGAACTTGGAGGCCCTGGGAGAATCTCTTGGTGTTGACAGCCCCTGACAGTAAATGTCACATGAATTCAGAGGGAGCTCAGAGCCTTCTGGTGACTGCTATGAGAAGAGACATGGTGACAGAAAACCTGATTGATGAGCCATGCCACGAGTAGAGGGAGCGCTGTGTGGTGATTGCCTATAATTGAATGGTCTGCGGAAGCTATTTCTGGGTTTCCTGTGAACACTGACATACACTCCAGAAGTGTTTTCACAGGGAAGGCCTGCAGATTTTAACCCTGGTACTCAGCAACTCCCTGTTAATGCAGCGTTAACAGACTTTAAAACTTAACGGGCTGTTTTAGCTTCATGCCTAGCATAATAATTAAACAAAACGACAACGGGAGATGGTCAGTCATGCAATTACCTTTAGCAACGTTCCTTTGTCAGCTTTTGCCTCCTCTTTTTAGTGCCTTCTCCTTGTGGCTCGGCTCTGTGATCTGACAACGCGGAGACGTTGATTATGAAGGTTCTTCCCGATTCTGACGATGCGCTCCTCTGACATGGGCTTGTCGCAGCCATGTTAAGCACAGCGGTGATGCTCCTGGCATTAAATGGGAATGTGAGACATTATAGCCCGCTCACCCAGCAAAGCATCTGCTCGCACTGACCAATTAAATTGGCTTCTCTCTCATTAAAACCCTTGTGCAGACTCTGGTATGTCACAGATCTTTAAAATCTCCATTATGAATTCCACCTTCTTCTGGGTATTTTTAGCTTATACTTGAAGAAATTATTATTGTCTCTTGCACTTAACCATATCAATTTTGGCTCCACAGACATCTCCTCTGGGCCATATTCAAAGACCCGAGCTGACTTGAACTGCTGAATCCGTAGGGAGGATTTCGACACAGCTCTAAGCGCTTGGACGTTGGAGCCATGCAAGAAGGAAGAGGGAGAGAAATTCAAGCCCTCCCCCCTTCCCTTTGGTAAGTCGGGAGCACATCCCTTACAGATTTACTTGGTTGTGCCAATTTAATGTGATTTCTTCTGAGGGCCGGGAACCACTCAAGGAAGGCTGACAGGTTTTATCAACAGAATGGAAACTGAAGTGATAAGGTGAGAGTTATTGACCTGATAACTAACAAACAGAAAACTTCAGTGTCCCCCAAGCTAAATATTGCACTCAGCAGGTAAGTAAAAGATGGCAACAGCTGTGCTCTTGTCACTGAGTGAGAGTGTGTTTTAGTGTAGAGGAGCAGGACGTGAACTGTGAAAACAAACACATTCGGTTTGCTACAGACTATTTCCCTCTATTACTTTTAATGAGAGCTAAACTCCAAAATGCACAATGGGACAATAATATTTGAGATAGAAGGAACTCTTCGTACAGCTCCTAAATTCTAGACACCCGGTTGCAATTAAAATGATTGCTTGCGTATTATTAATAGCTCGCCAGTAGTTTAAGGCTGTTAGCGGGTATGGGACCAATTGGTACTAGCCACTGCACAACCGAATGAAAAGTGGTGCCGTCCTTGGGGGCACTGAGTTAACAACCCGAACCCACAATGCTCAAAGGGGTTTGAAAAATGAGAGAAATGTAGAAAGGTGAGAGGAGCTGTGTTAAAATGCATCACTAGAGAGGCTGGCAAGCAACATGGCTGGGTTGCCATAGTTAGATGTTAGTAAATGCTGCCTAAGTGGTTTTTTATTATTTTAATTCTGAAATTGTAGCGTGGGGAGGGCAGATGGGAAGGGAAGTGGAGACCTCTAATGAATTATGATTTAGAAGTAATGGAAACAAAAAGTACTGCAAGTACACCTGTCTCTTGTTCCTCCTTTTTCCCCGTATATTTTTTCCTGAAAACATGCTGGGGTTGCGTATGAAACCTAGCTGTTGCAATTCTCACACATCCCTTGAAATTCTTGTCTGACAGAGTATGAAGGCTTCAGTAGCTGAACAAAAAGGCACGCGACAGAGCTCTTGTACAATGTCTGTCTCCTCTTTCTGGCACCTGGCCTGCTCAGTACAATTGGGAAAGACAAATGGCGAGTGATTGCTTCCTATTCAACTTCTGCATGCTAACTTTGTTTTTCAGATGGAAGCAGTTTTGAACTTACCATGTTTGTCATTCTGCCATGTATCTGCTTTTTCCTGTTATTGTTTCTTTTTTTTTTTTTTTTTAGGCGAAGGTACCAGAACTGCACTTGGTATTTGAGAAGCAGTGGCGAAGTCATACTTTTCTCTCCTAAGAATTCTGAACTTCTGATTTTCTTCTTTTTTTTTGACTGCTATTGAGCAATGAGGTGATATATTCATAGAACTAGCTATTATAATGTCAAGATGCATTTCCTAAATTGTGCAAACTAGTTCAGAGCCCATCACTCTGGGTGTAAAGTTGGCGTTGCATTTCGTGGATAGCCAGATTATAGTTGTCAGGGCTGAAATTTATCTTCCGCTTTATCATGAGGCTGCTCTGTGTCATGAGATCTTTAAGTTTTTGAGGTAAATATTATCCCAGTTAATTTAGTTTTTATCAGAAAACTTCTTCGCTGTTCCACCTACTTTCCAGATCACTTTTGAACACCATGGGGCCTTAATCCCCATGGGGCATCTTCCACTGCGAAACCTCATCCTTTAGTCTAATCTTCTTTTTCCAATATTAAACTTTTAATGCTGTGAGGTCCTTACCTGTAGTCCCTGTCTGTTTAGTTTATTTAAGAGCCTTTGATGAGACCTTCGATGTCTGAGGTTTCTGGAAGCTTGGGGGGAGTTGGAAACACAGGCAAAATTTCTCAGCTGGATCTCTGTTATTTACATCCTTTTGACTCCTTCAAAGAATTCCAGCAGATTTAGGAGGCTCGGATTCCTTTTATAAAAGTCATGTTTACTTTTCCTTAATGTGTTATTTTTATTCATGTATTTGCTAATTCTGTTCTTTACTAGAGCTTCAGCCAATATGACCAATATGGACATTAGACTTAGCGATCTGTGGTTTCTTGAATCGCCGCTGGATTTATTTTTAAAAAGTGATTTCTTATTAGTTACCTTCCAGTCCTTTGACAGTCGCACCAATTTTCAGCAAAAGGTTACATACTAAGGGTATTCGCTCAGATGATTCATATTTAACATTCTGTAAAAATCTTGTAGGAATATCATCTGCGCCCATTGGTATGTTGTTATTCATTTTGTCTGGTTTGTAATCTACTCTTAACAACCTTAAATTAAGACAAGCCTTCTGTGATTGCCTTATAAACAAGATGCTGGTTTCAGAGTTTCTCTGAGATTCTCCAGGCGAATAGAGAATTTAAGAAAAAAAAAAAGTTTGGGATTTTTTGCGATGGCATTATCTTTTCTGAGTGCTT